TTGGTGGACCAATATCCGAAGTTGTCAATTTTTTCGTTGAAATTTTAAATTCTTTACCAATTTCTGCTTGCTCTTTTAGTTTGGCACTGAAAAAACAAATTGGTTGGTTTGTTGCAATCAGAAAATTGTGTTGAATAAAGATTTTTTTCAAGAATAAAACTTACTTGGCACGATATTGTCGACATCCAATGTATGCACTGATAGCAATCAGAAGAATAGTAATAACTGTGGCAACCACACCGGCAATGATTATCATTTCTTCTGTCCAAAAACAGTTCCAACTTCGTTGCGATGAACTGATTTTATCGCATACTGATGTAAACAATTGTCGTGTTTTTGTTTCGATCTGTTGCGAATAATTCTGGTTACATTTTGCCGCTTTTTCTATTTCACAAGCCATCGCTTGCCAAACGAAGCAGCAAAATTGTTTCGTTTCATAGAACTTTTTGTTTGTTTCAAATGACAAAACGAAAATTGGTTTGATTAATTTTAGAGAATCATTTGAATGTAATACTTACATATTCGTCAATCGTAACTTTCCATTTTCGATGTGATGATTTTTCACATTCATTGAATTGATGTTGAATTGTATCACTACATTGTAATGATTTCGGTAAGCCATAAACCGATTTATACGGATATCGTACCGTATCCCATTCAGTTTTACCTACAAAACCACGCATTATGAATGATTTATCACCATTGGTCATCCATGTATTCTTCAAAGTAATGATAATTATAAGCCACAATTGGGACCATTTTTGTTTCTTATGATTATCCATTATAAAAAAAAATCCAGAATCAAACAAACATACCAACAAAAAAAAAATGTTAAATAAATCAATGTCTATGGTGAATTTATATGCAAAATTCCAATCATTCTTGTTTTTTTACCCAAAAACCGAACAAAACATTTAATCAATTAGAATTTTTTTTTGTTCAAACAAATTTTTATTAATTCTGTTTTTTTCGAAAATTCATTTTTAAAAATATTTTGTATTTGTATCATTATTTGGTATTCTTAATATTAAATTTGCTAATTCTGTTAGATTTTTTGTTTTATTAGTAAAAATGTTTGTTTTAATTGGATTTTGTCCTGTTGTTGATGGCTGATTTGATTTTGCCTTAGAAGCTGATGGTGATGATGATGATGATTGTGATATAAATCTATTTAAATTTTTGAATGAATTTTTTCTATCATCTTTGCTCATTAATTTCATTTGTTTTTCTGGTAATAATGATCGTTTTCGTCTTGTAGCTTTTTCTACTGCTGATGAGGATTCGGAATCAGATGATGATGATCCTTCTTCTCTTTGTTGCGCTGAAGATGATGCCGGTTGCTGTTGTTGTTGTTGGGCAGAAGATGATGCCTGTTGCTGTTGTTGTGGTATTTGTTCAGAATCGAAAGCCGATGATGCTGCATCGGTTGATGATGGTTGTCGTTCTGGTGTTGCTGGTGTTCGTGATCTTCCATAATTTCTTCTTCTAAAATGAACTCTAGCTTGTTCTTGTTGTTGTTCTTCATTTAATTCAATTCTTACCCCTTCTTGTTGTTGTCGTTGCCGTTGTTGTCTTCGTATTTGTTGTTGCCGTCGTTGTTGTTGAAATTCTTGTTGTTGTTGTTGCTGTACTTTGTGCTGTTGCTGTTGTTGTTGTAATTGTTGTTGTCTTAATCGTTGTTGATTTTGTTCATATTCTTCTCTTGGTTGTAATCTTGGTCGATTTGGTCGTTGTCGTTGTAATCGTCGTATTTCTTCGATTTGTTGTCGTTCTTGTATTTGTTGTTGTTGTTGTATTTGTTGTTGTAGTATTTGTAATTGTTCTTTTCGTAATTCTTCTGGTTCTATTACATTTACTTTAGGAATTCCATAATCACTTGGATCACCAACATGTCGAACTTGTATTTTTTTAGGTGTCTGTGGATTCCATTCACTTAATTCAATTGGTTTATCATCAATATGATCGACATTTGTAGTTGTTGTTGATGAAATTCTTCTTGAATCTTTTGATTGACCAATATCTTTAGTTGTTAATTTTTCATTTTTATTTGGTTTGGATGATGATGATGATGATGTGAAAATGTTTCCAAACCATTTTTTAAATTTGCCTTGTTTTTCAACATTTTCTATTGGTTTCGATGATTGTATTGGTTTAGATGATTGTAATGGTTCAACCTTTATTTCTATATATGATGGTTCTGGATACCATTCCAAATCTTCGAAAGCAATAATTTTTGAACTTGATGCTAATTCAATTTTTCTGGCACAAAAAAAAACAAATTGGTTGATTTGATTAGAAAATTGTGTTGAATAAAGAATTTTTTCAAGAATAAAACTTACTTGGCACGATATTTTCGACATCCAAGGAATGCACCGTAAGCAATAAGAGCCACAGTTATAAGTGTGGCGACCACACCGGCAATGATTATTTTTTCATCTGTCCACCAACATTTCCAACTTTGTTGCGTTGAACTGATTTTATCGCATACGGATGTATATAATTGTCGTGTGTTTGTTTCGATCTGTTGCGAATAATTCTGGTTACATTTTGCCGCTGTTTCAATTTCACAATCCATCGCTTGCCAAACGAAACAACAAAATCGTTTTGTTTCATAGAACTTTTTTTGTTTCAAAAGACAAAACGAAAATTGGTTTGGATTATTTTTTGAGAATCATTTAAATACAACTTACATATCCGTCAGTCTTAACATTCCATTCACGATGTGATGATTTTTCACATTCATTGAATTGATGTTGAATTGTATCACTACATTGTAATGATTTCGGTAGACCATAAACCGATTTATACGGATATCGTACACCACCCATTATGAATGATTTATCACCATTGACCATCCATACCAATGCAACAATAACAACGAACATTAACCAATTTTGTTTATAATGATGATTATTCATAATAAAAAATAATTTTATCGTTTTGCAAAACACACAAAATACCAAACAAAACGAACCGAATTAAAAAGTTTGACAAAATGTTAATCAATGGCTATGGTGAAATTTATATGAAAATTTCAATCATTCTTGTTTAAAAACAAAACATTTATTCAATTATTAAATAATTCGTTTGGCTTTTGAGTAAAATATTCTAAAATTCTTTAAAATTCAAAAATTTCCTAATTTTAATTTAATTGAAAATCAAAACGTTAGTTGTTTGTTACTGTAATCCACTGAAGAATTTGTATTTCAATCTTTTAAATTTTGTATTTCCTAGGCTATCCTTTATATTTAAATATATTTGTAATTGATAATTTATTTTAATTTTCTTATTTTTTTATAGCGTAATATCCATTGGATAAATGATGCTTTTTAATAAAAATTATTATTACAAATATTATAAATGTGATTTATTATTATTTTATTTTTTTGATTTAGAATTTAAATTATTTTTCAAATAAATTTTTATTTGAATGAATATTTGATAAAAATTGTTTTAGAAAATTTGAATAATCAACTTTTGTCGTTATTTTTGATGGCGATGTTGTTGATAATTGTGGAGCTGATGATGGTCTTGGTGGTGGTTGTTGTTGTTCGGGTGCTGCTGCTGCTGCTGGTGGTGGCGCTGCTTGTGATAATCTTTTTGATTTTGAATGAATATTATCATATGATGATGATAATGATGGTTGTTGATCATCTATTTCCATTGGTATTATTTTTTGTTTTTTTTGTCGGCTTGATGATACTGATGATGATGATTGTCCATTATCTATTTCCATTGGTATTTCTTTTCGTTTTTGTTTAGATCTAAATTTAGAAGGTTGAGATGGTGGTGGTGTTTTTGTTCTTCCCTTTTTTTCCGTTGGTGGTGGTGGTGATGTTTCTTTTCGTTTTCGTTTAGATCTAAATCTAGAAGGTTGAGATGGTGGTGGTGTTTTTGTTCTTCTCTTTTTTTCCGTTGGTGGTGGTGGTGATGTTTCTTTTCGTTTTGTTCCTTTATCATCCAATTTTAATGTACTTATTCCTTTTCTAATTTCATTAACATTTTCTTGATTAATATCTTTCATTTCAACATCACTTCTTTGTAAAACATTATCGATTTTTTTAGGTGATTGAACATTATCAGTTGCTAATTTAATTTTTTTGTCAATTTCTGCTTGTTTTTTTAGTTTGGCACTAAAAAGAAACAAATTGAATTGAATTGTTGAATAAAGAATTTATTTCATGAATAAAACTTACTTGGCACGATATTGTCGACATCCAATGTATGCACCGACAACAACCAGAAGAACAGTAATAACTGTGACAACCACACCGGCAATGATTTTCATGTCTTCTGTCCAAAAACAGTTCCAACTTCGTTGCGATGATCTGATTTTATCGCATACTGATGTGAACAATTGTCGTGTGTTTGTTTCGATCTGTTGCGAATAATTCCGGTTACATTTTGCTGCTATTTCTATTTCACAAGCCATCGCATCCCAAACGAAGCAGCAAAATTCTTTCGTTTCATAGAACTTTTTGTTTTCAAAAGACAAAGCGAAATTTGGTTTGATTAATTTTTGAGAATNATTAAATGCAACTTACATATTCGTCAATCGTAACTTTCCATTTTCGATGTGATGATTTTTCACATTCATTGAATTGATGTTGAATTGTATCACTACATTGTAATGATTTCGGTAGACCATAAACCGATTTATACGGATATCGTACCATATCCCATTCAGTTTGATCTTCAATACCACGCATTATGAATGATTTATCACCATTGGCCATCCATACATCATTCAAAATGATAATAACGCCGATCATCAACAAGTATGGCCAATGATTATCGATAAACGATAATAATCTAACCATTCGTAAATAGAAAAATTTCAAAATCAAAAATAATACAAAATATTAATCAAAAAACTAGTTGAAATTTATATGAAAATTTAAATCATTCTTGTATTTCAACAACAACAAAAAAAAACATTATTCATTTAAGTAATTACAAATTATAATGTTGATTTTAATTAATTTTTTTAAAAAAAATAATTATTATAATAATGAATTTATATTTTTTTCCAAATCCATTGTTGTTACTATCATATTTGTAATATTATTTGGATTTTTAATATTATTATTATTATTCAATATAACCGGATATTGTAACTCTGTTGATGATGATGGTGGTGGTGATGGTGGTGGTGTGAATGTTGGTGACGCTGATGGCGATGCTGATGATTCCTGAAAAAAATACGGAAACCACCATGGTTCTTCTTCTGCACCCTTACTCCCACGATTGATGTCAAAATTAAATTTCAATCCATTTGATGATGATGCTGTTGATGATGCTGGTGGTGATGGTAATTCTATTAGTCGTTGTTGTTGTTGTTGTTGTTGTTGTTGTGTTGATGATAATGGTACTATTGAATCCATTGATGATGCTTGTAATATTGTTGATCTTGTTGATGATGTTAATGATGGTGCCGATGGTTTTACATATCGTAATTGTGGTTCTCCTAATGTTACTCCATCTTCAACTTTTAAACTACGTGAAAATATTGGTGTTGCTGATGAATGCTCTAATAGTATTGATTCGGGTATTTCTGTTGGTCTACTTCTTGATTCTGGCATTCTTGCACGTAATGCTTTAAATCGTTTTAAAATTTCTCTATCGCTTAAACGTGAATTATAAACAGTACTAGCATCACTATCATCTATTGGATTTTTAGCTTGTTTAATTGATGATGCTGTTGTTTTTTTTGATGATATTGATGATGTTCTTGATGCATTCGATATTGTTCCATATATGGTTGGTTCATAATCACTATCATCCAACATAAAATGTTCTTTTTTCAGATAAATAATCGCTTCTTCATCAGTCATCGCTGCAAATTTTGCTGCTGCTTCTTCTGCTTCTGTTGTTGTTGTTTTTGTTTGTTCAATTTTCATCGTTGTCATCTGTTTACCTGGTCTAAAATCAATAGAGAAGAAAGAATGAATGAAATTTCATTGTTTTTTTCCCCCATTAAAATTGCTTACATTGCTTTTGCTTTTTTTAATATAGCTTCTTTTGCTTTCTGTGCACGTGATAATTGTATAAAAGTACAAACCAAAATAAGAAATGTTATTACTGTTGTAATAATAATAGCTATAGCTGTTATTCTTGCTTCAGTAAACCAACAAGATAAACTATTTGGTCCGTAATCGATTTCATTACATATTTTTTCAAATGTTTCTTTTGTATTTGTTTGTAATTTTTGTGAATATTCTTGATTACATCCAGCAATTATTGGTATTTCACAATCCATTGTATTCCAAATGAAACAGCAAAATTTTTTTGTTTCTGTAAACTTTTTTGTTTTCAAAAAACAAAATCTCATTGATTTGATTTGAAACCAAAAAAAAAATCATTTAAAACTTACATATTCATCAATCATAATTTTCCATTCATAATGTGATGTTTTTTCACATTGATAAAAACGTTGTTGTATTGATTGTACACAATTTAATGATTTTGGTATACCATAAACCGTTTTATATGGATATCTTATTGTATCCCATTCCATTTGATTTTCATTATTATCATTATTATGATCACTACTATCATGTATAATAATGAATGATTTATCACCATTAACCATCCAAACATTATTCATGCTAACAACAACTATCATCATCAACAACAAATGTAAAAATAGCCGTTTATTATCTTTAAAGGATAATCTTTTCATTCGTTAAACAGAATTCAGAGAAAATATTAAACAAAATGTTTAATCAATGGTCAACTAGAAAATTTATATGAAAATTTTAACCATTGTTTGGGTTTATTTTTCGGTTGAGTAAAATTTTAACAAAACAAAATAATTTACAAAAAAAAAATTACAATTTATATTTACAAATTACAGAATTAATTTTTAGCAAAACAAATTAAATATTTTTTATCTGACTAGTGTGTTCAAAATTATTTTGGATTAAACTGTTGAGTTGATTGATTGAATGCATTGATTGTTTGTATTAATTCCAATGTAATTTTATCATTTTCCGGATTACTACCTAATGCTGTTCTAATAGATGACGGGCTTATTTGTGGTGATCGTGATGCTGATGTACTTGATGGTAAATATTCCGATGAGAGTTGTGGCAATTGTTTTTTGGATGCCGATTTTGGTAATGATGGTGATGATGGTGAAGTTTTTTTTATTGATGGCAATGATGATATTTGTCGTGTTTTTCTGGACAATGCTTTTGATGATGATGATGATTGTGATAATAGTTGTTCTCGCGGGTATACTGGTCTTGATGTCGGTAATGGGTGTGGTGACAAATTTGTTCTAGGTGGCGGGGGTTGATAATGGAATGATCGCGGATCTATTCTTCTGCTCGTTCTTCGTGATATGGATGGTTGTTGTTGTAGTTGTTGTTGTTGTGGTTTTTGGATTTGTTGTTGTTGTGGTTGTGGTTGTGGTTGTGGTTGCTGTTGCAGTTGTTGTTGTTGTTGTTGTGGTCGTGGTCCTGTTGATGTCGATGCTCTTGATGATGATTGTGATAATAATTGTTCTCTCGGATATACTGGTCTTGATGTCGGTAATGGATGTGGTGCAAATTTTGATCTTGGTGGCGGGGGTTGATAATGGAATGATCGCGGATCTATTCTTCTGGTCGTTCTTCGTGATATGGATGGTTGTTGTTGTAGTTGCTGTAGTCGTTGTTGTTGTTGGAGTTCTTGTTGTGGTCGTTCTATTAACTCATAATGTATTCTTGAAATAAATTCTTCATCTTCTGCCAATCTTAACATCGTCTTGCTATCAACATTACCTTGAACATGTTGAACAGTTATTTTTTCAGGTGTTTGTGGATTCCATTCACTTAATTCAACTGGTTTATCAATAGAATCGTCAATTGCTGTTGCTGGAATTCTTCTTAAATCTGTTGGTGGACCAATATCAGCAGTTGTTAATTTTGGTTTTTTCGATGTTGAAAAGATATTTGAAAACCATTTTGCAACAGTTCCTTGTTTTTTAACATTTTGAATAGGTTTATCAATAGAATCGGCGGTTGTTGTTGGAATTTCCATAGATTGAAATTTTCTTAAATCTGTTGGTGGACCAATATCAGCAGTTGTTAATTTTCCTTTTGTAGTTTTCAATGGGATATTCATTTGTTCAGCAATTTTAAGCTTGGCTCTAAAAAAAATGATTGATTTGTTTACAATCAGAAAAATGTGTTAAATCAAGAATAAAACTTACTTGGCACGATATTGTCGACATCCAAAGTATGCACCGACAGCAATCAGAAGAATAGTAATAACTGTGGCGACCACACCGGCAATGATTATCATGTCTTCTGTCCAAAAACAGTTCCAACTTCGTTGCGATGAACTGATTTTATCGCATACTGATGTAAACAATTGTCGTGTGTTTGTTTCGATCTGTTGCGAATAATTCTGGTTACATTTTGCCGCTTTTTCTATTTCACAAGCCATCGCATGCCAAACGAAGCAGCAAAATTGTTTCGTTTCATAAAACTTTTTGTTTCAAATGACAAAACGAAATTTGGTTTGATTAATTTTTGAGAATCATTAAATGCAACTTACATATTCGTCAATCGTAACTTTCCATTC